AATATATTTGGGTCATGGTTAGGATAGAATTATCCCCCGTTTGGCCCCCATTAATTTTCATTCCATTACATTTTATTTTATTTTATTTTCTATTTTCAACCACATGATCTTTCATAAAATAATGTTATACGTAGATAGAAAGTTTTTTCTTTTTTTTCAACCACTCATTTTTTTTAAAAAAAAACTATTCCACCCATTTTCATTTACACAAAATGGGGGCTTAATTTGTCTTGAAAAAGAAAGTTAAATACAGTAGCTTTATCAATTGTCAAGAACGTATGAGCGGACTAGATTATAAATCAAGAATTAAAATAGATAACAATAGATGGAGCCAAAATCAAATAAATCATCCATAAATTGATAAAAATCATACTTTTATTGCTTTATTAAATTAATCTAGAAAAAATAAAATTAAAATCTCTCTCTCTCTCTCTCTCTCTCTCTCTCTCTCTCTCTCTCTCTCTCTCTCAGATAATTCGAATATCATACATAACTAGTAACCTTGGATTGAAATTTATTTCTTTTGGAACGCTCAACTCACTAAAACTATTACTTATCAATGAAATCTCGTATGCTTGTGAATTTCACACGAACAAGTTTTTGACATCATCGACGAGAAATAAAGTATTTAATTGAGTTTATTATTTTATATAGGATTCATATTTCTATTTCTATTTTTTATTTTTTTGATAATTTTGGCTATTCGCCCTGATCTCTCTTATAATTGGTATGCTTTTAAGTATTATTCAACAATATTGCAGGCTTCTGGTGATAGCAAAGGAGTAAATTTTTTTGCAACAAGTAATCTCGACGTGGATGATGAGGATATATACTTGTAAAAGACATAATTTGTTAGCTTTGTAATAGGATGCACTAGATTATGCTTGTACACATGTACTAATTCCTTTATGTCCAAGCTTCTACGGTTTAAAAAATATTTAAGATGTCCAAAATAAGCAATTGACAAACTTGATGAATGCTATATACTGGAGGGTGAGTATGTATCTACATACACAGACAATAACATCATTTCTAAGGGAGTTGGTCCTTCCCTATTGAACGAGGAGATACTTGCAAAATATGTACAAGAGATTTCGTATTCTGGGATGAATTTAAAATGTGGGGATATAATTCACTTGAAAAGGTTGAAATGAAAGAATTACAATTGACGGTGAATTTAGATTGTGAACCAACCATTCAACTCGATGTGATATCAATTATTGAAGAAGAGCATAAAGAATATGACAAACTAATTTCAAAGGAAGCAATCGAAGAAGTGGAAATTAACGATGATGAAATTAACACACATTCTTTCAACATCATCGATGGTCCAAAAATTGAATTTGTGATTAAGCTCGAGGAGGAATAAGTTTACATAGTTGATTTCAAATTGAATGGAATAAGGAAGTCTTATTGCATTAAAGGAGGCAAGGTCAAGATTTGGAAAATCAACGAAAAGTGAATCATAATCAAAAGAAGCAAATTAAGTAAGGGATCAAAAGCTTTCTTTAGAATTTCATGATGCAGAACATCAAAGTCAAGCTAATGACTATAGATAAATGCTTATTGGGAACAACCTAATTTTCTTCCCTTTCATTTATTTTGCTTTTTAGATATATTATTAGTAATTTTTATTTTTTTTAGTAGTATAGGGTATCTTCATCCCCTTATTTTCCTATATTGTGTATATGAGCTTATTTTATAGTGTTCCATGTTATGATTATTTTTAAATTATTTTGAAGAAGCATAACACTTGAACACACTAGACAAGGGAAAAGACATAGCAAGTGAGCTAGAACTTTCATGCCAATCAATCCATCACCTTCAAATATATATCAGTGGAGTACTTAATTCCCTTCTTTTCCTTAATTTCTATATAATTCTTATTATATTTTTAGATATTAAAGGTCATGTCAGTTATAAGTTTGAGGGTGGAAAAACATTGAATTTTTATTGATTTGTGTGCTTGTTCGAGTGCAAAAAAAAAAAAATTGAAAATCTTGAAAAGGAATAATAATTTATTTTCAACTTATTTTTTGCTTTTAAGTTCTTGCGTGTGTTAGATAATTTTGTTTGCTATGATGAGTATATTTGAAACCATTTGTTAGTTTATAAATTATGAAAATTTGTATATTAAGGTTGATTTTAAGCTTATTCATGTAAAGCCTAATATTTTTGGGCACACGATTTATGTTTTTGCATCATGAAGTAATAATTTGATTCAGAATTTGAATAGGTTAAAAAAAATATAGTGGACCTTCGATGCTAAATCCAAACAGCCACTAAATTATAAATCTTTAAAACAAATCTATAATAGTTTGGGATGATTGAACTGTTGTACAGAAACATTGAGATAAATGTGGATTTCATGTATACTAAATTTTGTGTGGATTGTTTAAGGCCAATAAGATGAAAATTATGTGAAAATCTTAAATTATGGTCAATTTTTTGAGAACAAGTATTTAATAAGAGGCATTATTCCACCTCTGGATAAAATATGATACAATTAGATCCCGAAAAAAAAAAATAGAATTCTAGCATTTATATCTCTCTACCTACAATCTAACAATATATTTTTCTTTCTAGAATCCCTGATTTCCAAAATTCTCTCATAATCAGTTCAATTTCTTCCCAAAATCACTATAGGCCCCGTTTGAATCTAATTAATTTTCATTTCGTTGCATTCAATTTTTCTTTCTCGTATTTTCAACCATACAATCTTCTATAAAATAATATTACACGTAAAAAATCGAAAGTTTTTCCTTATTTTTCAACAACTCATTTTTTTAAAAAAAAATTATTCCACCAATTTTCATTTCAAAAAAATGGAGGCTAAATGGGGATTATATCTCTCTTACCATAGATCGATGCATTTACATCTCCATTACATCCAACATCATTCCAAAATTATCAATAAAGCCCTTGTTTGAGCCTCATTTTTGTCAAAAAAAATGAATTTTTGAATAGTGTATTTGATGAAAAATTTGTAGTTAAAAATAATGAAAAATTTTGGATTTACGTGCAATATTATTTTATTAAAAAATGTGTGGTTGAAATGAGCTCAAAATACCTTTCAAGAATTCTTTTTTTTTTTCCCCCAAAAAATGAGGCTCAAACAAGGGTAAATTTGCCATAATTTGATGAGTATGTTTCTTCAAAAGCATATTCTGAGTAAGTCAAAATGTAATCATCAATTTTATGATTCATCTATCTACAGATTTCAATTCGATAAGAGTTGTTGGAATGCGGTAGTCAAAGCATTTGATGATTAGATATCTCTATATTTTCATTGTGAAGCGTTCATAAAGTCATTTTTCTTTCACTTTATCCACAAATTATATACTCTTGGACATGTTGAATTGGAAGATTATTTAAATAAGATTTATTGTAGATCAGAAGTGTTGAATACAATGATCTTATGACATAAAAATTCAAAATTTCTGAATAGGTTTTTGTATTTCATAAAATCTCAGCATGATCATGACCGATTGATTACGTGTTCTTGTGTTGTATGTGACTATATTTTGTTTAATAGTGACTGTTTGTGACTATATTAGTGTAAGATGATATAGTTTGCGATCAGATCTATGTTATTTGTGGTCAATTTTATTTTCATAGTGACATTTTCGTGATCAAATATGTGTTAACTGTAATAGTATGTGACCAAGTTATTGTTAATTTGGACACATAGTTAAGACAGATTTGATCATATACAATTACAATGAAGAAATATTTGATCTCAATCGATCACAATTATCATAAACTTGATTCTAGAGGGTCAAGATCGATCACAATTAACAAAGACTTGATCATATCATAGTCTTAACACATTGCGCCACAAACCCACCTCTTCAAATTGAATCAACCGCCACAAAAAATTTGGCCCACGAATGAATTGGAAAAATTCACCAACAAATCTGGCCGAATTTTATAGAAGTAGACACCGTTGGTATTGATGGAGTCAATAATGACCGAACTAGAAAAATTCACTGACAAATAAAATTAAAAACTACAATCTTCCAAGTTGGTAATCCCCTTCGAATCCTCACTTCGTAAATTTTCACTCTTAAAGTTCAACTCCTTTGTCTAGAACATTCAAACACAACAGATCCAAATGAAGATTCAATGTATGAACTCTATATATATATATATGATTTAAGACTTGATTTTTGAAATTGAAACTTTAAAATGTAGGGTTTAAGTTAATTTTCCCTTCAAAATAATATTCTTAATTGATAGTCCTAGTGGGACTGAATGTCAGCCTTGGCACATACACAGTTGGGCCCAGAGCCCATACATTTTGCAGGATGGTACCATCCGGCGGGCCTAGTATTAGTATTAATTTACAAAATTGCACAATTAGTCCTCCATCTTATGCCATTAGCAAGTGGATCCTCATTCCTTAGGAAAAAAAATGCTAATCTGCAATTTTAATTACAACTGCAAAAACAGTCCTCCATAACTAAACTTTTATAAAGTTCAGTGACCCTGTTGAAACATTTTACAAAGTTAGTGATGAATTGGGTGATTTTTAAAATTCAGTGACCTCGTGGGAATATTTTACAAAGTTTAATGATGAATTTGGTGATTTTTAAAGTTCAATGACTCTGTGAAAATTTTTTACAAAGTTCAATGACCATTTGGGTAATTCAATCATGCATTTCACCAACTTTTATCAAAATCTATTAAAATATGATTTTAACCGCCACCAAACAATGATTAAATCAAATGAAAGTCACATGAAATTTTAGTATTCGAGTTCATAGTTTTTACCTTGTAGGAACTTAAATTCATATATTTATTTAAGTTGAGAATCCAAAACTTAACTTTTGAAGATTGAGAATCCACGTGAAAGGTTGAGCAATCCAACTTGAATTTCACCTTTGTTATAAAAGATGAAGGATCAATTTGTTATAGAGCGATAGATTGAGGACCAAGCATAGTTTTCACAATTTATTCAAAGACAAACCGTAACGCATAATCTAGGCGGAACACTTTAGGAGTGTTTATAAGAGTGATAAAGTAGCAGCAAAACCCAAACCACACAGTGCTGATTTAGATTTTCTTTTCGATTACTCCTCGAAAAATGCACCTTTCTGTGGTGGAATCAACAAAACCAGTAAAAGGTTAAATGTTTAAAGAAGATCTGAAGATCGAGAATTGATAAGAGAGTGAGAAAAGAGCTTTTTGCAAATATAGCAAAATCAGTGTTCTTGAATCTGTATTTTCACTTAATTAGCCTAATTTTGTCACCATCTCCATTGAAGTCCCTCCTTAAACTTTTCTGATCTGCACACACAAACACGCGCAGAAGCTCTTTTCGAGCTTTAATTTTGTGAGAAAGGCATGAGGTCTTCACTTTTCTTTCTCGGTTTCTTATTCCTCTCTATGACTTGGGTTTTTCAGTTTCAAGCTCATGCTGCACCTGCTGGTAAATTTCCCGTTTTTCTGTTACGGGTTTGTTTGTTGAACAGTACAGAAATCAGAAGCTTTTTTATTTGTTTGTCAAATGGGCGTGCTTATTTTGTATGCGGAAGTTTAATTTCCTGTGTTTGTTGATTCTATTATTTTTGTAAATGCCAGGGCCATTGATAAAACACCTTTCCTCTCTTCTCAAATGGACTAGGTCTTCCTCCAAAGCACCCCAGCAAGCAGGTAAAATCACTGTCATAACCTTTTTGTGTTCTTCAATTTAGATGTTTGCTTAATATATGTACTTATTACTCTAATTCCTGACTGTACGAATGGAAACCGTATCATAGAGCAATCATGTGGTAGTTTACTAGGAACCCTTGCGAGAATTTGTACTTCAGAAGACTAATTTTAATTATATTATTTTTTTATTATACTTTAGAGGATGTAAAATCACCAAGAAAAAAAATTAAAAAAATAACATGCATGATGGCTCCTTTAGGCACATTGTTATTCTCATCGCATTGTCCTCTTTCCCTGGTGGGAGGGAGGGAGGGACAATAATTTTTGGCTTAGATACTAGAGAAATTCAATGTTATATCTGCACATGTACATGTTTTTATTGATCTTGCTATGTTGCAGATGGAAATGTGCTTCAATTTGAAGATGGCTATCTAGTAGAAACTGTTGTTCAAGGGAATGAACTTGGGGTTATACCATACACTATTCGTGTCTCGCAAGATGGAGAGCTATTCGCTGTGGATGCTGAGAACAGCAACGTTGTTCGAATTACTCCTCCACTTTCCCAATGTGCACTTCCTTGTCCTTTCTGCTGAATTTTACATCATGTTGATTCAAGATGAATATATGAGATGACCACTGTTATTTTCTGTTGTAGTATTTTTAAGTGTAGTATGGTATTAGCTCTTTTGCTATTTGGTTCTGGAACATGTAACAAACGAGAATGACTTTGTTTAATTTTTTTGCTTCCTCTTTTGAATAATCGAAAAAGATACCAATGTTGAAATGGAATATTTTCAATGAAAGGAATTTTGGGTCTTGAATTATAAATCTTATTGTTTTTGTTTTTTGGGCTCAAACGGAGTTTGTTATTTGAGATAGTGCCTCAAGCGAAAGTTGTGTTTTATGTATATTTATTTATGATAGAGATATATTCAGAATGTCAAGTGAGATTGTACATTTTGCCTTGTAAAAGTTTAAAAAATATTGCAACTTTATATGATTGGTTCGAATCTTGGTCTTATAATCCTTCATTTACCAATATGCAGATAGTAGGGCAAGATTGGTTGCAGGATCATTTCAGGGTCACACTGGGCATGTGGATGGAAAACCAAGTGATGCTCGTTTTAATCATCCAAAGGGGGTTACCATGGATGATAAAGGGAATGTTTATGTTGCTGATACATCAAATCTTGCCATTAGAAAGATAGGAGAAGCAGGTTCATCCATTTGTGCCATATTATCCTGATTTTTAGGAGTTTGACGAATTAAAATGGAATTCTGACAGTTGAATATGTCCTAAAAATTGTTAAATAGACATACTATTTTCTTAATGTACTGTATATATTACTGTATGAAATAGATATCTAGGATCTAAAGTTAATTCATTGTCATGGTACGGATATCTTTTCATAGTAATCTAAACTTTGAAGATGAATTACAGGAGTGACAACCATTGCGGGAGGAAAATCAAATGTTGTGGGATACCGGGATGGGCCAAGTGAGGATGCAAAGTTCTCAAGTGACTTTGATGTGATATATGTGAAGGCAACCTGTTCACTATTAGTTATTGACAGAGGCAATGCTGCTCTTCGTCAAATCTCTCTCGACAAGGAAGATTGTAATTACCAGTATAGCTCTACATCTGCCACAGGTTCAGATTGCCAATCAACATATGTTTTCTTGAGCATTCAGCACATTAGTTGGCTAAGTAAAATGCTACTTGTCTTAAAATTTTATCCAATTGTTATGCCAACTGTGGTTGCATAATATGATTTTGCCAAGATGGGGATTTTAACACGCATTCTTTTTCATCAAGTAAACAGATAATAATCCAATAATCATGCCATCACATACAATTCGTCATCGTGCTTAATATAAACACCCAAAATCTATGTGACCTATGTTCATCTCATCCATAACTTCACAAGTTGTGATTTAACTATATGCTTTCCTGGTTCCTTAGATAGAAATGCACTTCCATACGTGAAGTTAGATAAATGTTGTTTTTCTTCCTTTATAAAAAAGAAGAAACTGGTAGTAGAAGTCAGGAATCTGAATATAAATGAGTTTAGGGAATATTGTTGTCTAGCCTTTTACACGTTTCTCTGATTGCAATTTAATTATCCTAGCACCTTCGATTTTATGTATAGAAAATTGTTTTGCTCCATTGGATTGTTGTCATGTCAGGCATTATTTCTTTCAGCGAGACAGTCTCCTTGATAATTAAGATGATGGAGCCATTAATTTTACTGAATTTGAACAAGAAGCACCTTGCATCACTCAGGGTAAAATAATATGAAAACACAAAAATAAAAGAAATAAAACAGATGTATGTACTGACAATTATGATCATTGCCATCCATGAATCCTAAACATAACGTGTTATTTTGTGTTGGAATAAGTATTAGATGTTTCACTGCATCTTTTATCAGGATAGCTATATGTTGAAAAGTGCTTTACTCAATAAAATAGGACGCTTACATCACCATGTCTGCCACTAATAATCTGGTATTTTTGGCAGATCTTCTTGTGGTCGCTGGTGCTATTTTGATAGGGTATGCGACGTGCATGCTTCAGCAGGGATTTGGTTCCTCTTTTTTCTCCAAAATGGTAAAATTCTATTATTCTATGGTTTTCTTTCTGTTTATTAAGTTAACAAAAGGGGAAAAAAATCAATGATTTTTTTGATATATTAAAAATGAGCCTTTTGACTTTTAAATTCAACTTTTTGTGAAAGTTTTAGGGAAATTTTTCTTCTGGTGATAGTGAATGAGTTCTATTTTTTACTGAATAGCTGCCAAAGTTTTACATAATTTGCTGCCAAAGTTTTACATAATTTGCTTCATAAAAGTTGCATGGACCTCCACCTAATTTCAAGATAATTTTTTATACATTTCTATTAGGTTTTTGTCGATGTGAGTTTTTTTTTTTGTGGATTGAAGGCACTGATTTTTCATTTTTGTGATTGGTGAGGATGTGTAATCTCAAGATTTCAGTTTGAAAATTTGTCTTCTGTGCATGGTAGAGGCCTAAATGTGTAATCTCAAGATTTCAGTTCGAAAATTTGTCTTCTGTGCATGGTAGAGGCCTAAATGTGTACTCTCTCTCGAATCTCATCACATATAATTGCAGCAAGGGCAAAATGGATATGTACTTCCGGAACAACCAGTGAGCAAGGAGAAACCCACTCCTATTGCAGTGGCCGTTAAAGATGAACAAGAAGCTGGATGGCCGTCATTTGGACAGCTCGTCTGGGATCTATCCAAGTTTGCAATGGAAGCAGTAGGTGGTATCTTTCTTCAATTCATTCCCTTGCGCTTCAGAGGGAAGAGTTCCAAAGGTGGCCTTACTCCACTGAAAGATTCTCTTGTCATGCATGAAGATGAATCCGAGCCTTCGTTATCTCAAAAGCAGAGAACTCCAACTCCCCTATCTGAAACAAGGCAGACCCTCGAGCCATCTTCTGCTGATAGATTTACTGAAGTAAAACTACCTAAGATTAGGTCAAGCAGTTTTAAAGATCCCCACGAACCATCTTCTGCTGATAGATTTACTGAAGTAAAACAACATAAGATTAGGTCGAGCAGTTTTAAAGATCCTTCTTTGTCCAGCAAGCACAGATCTTCTAGACGACAAGAATATGCTGAATTTTATGGATCGGGTGAGGTTCCTCCATACGGGCAGGTCAGGCCGAAGAGTCAGAAAGAGAGAACAAAGCATCGTGTGCGAGAGAAAAATGGAGATGCAAATTTTGTGGCATCAAGTGTGGAGCCAAAACCTGTTGAAACCAGGGCAGCCAACTATGAGAGTACAAACTATGATGCTTACAATTTCAGGAGCAAGTATGGAGATTCGTATCGGTATGATTAAGTTGCAGTGTTTTAGGCAGTTGAATCATTGGCTTCAGACAAAATCTGTTTTACCAAAACGTCTGAATGTCATAAAAGTAACTTAAAAGTACCTGTTTTTGATATTCTATCACAAAACAAAATGTACATCATGTTTGAGATGTATGCTCATGATTTCTTGATGTTCTTGTTTCTGGTATGACGTGTTTCGGAGGTGATTAAATTAAAATTGAAGAGATAATACGCCTTGGGTTTTATGGATTCTGTAGATAATAAGTGAGCAATAATTGTGGGTCTTACAAAATAAATGGATAAAAAGTTTGTTTTATTTGATTATATTAAAGTGGAATTTACACCCAATACAATGATTTTAATAAATATTCATTTTATACGTCTAAGTATTTTTTTATACCAAAAGTACTATTTTTTATGCAGTAAAAATGAAAAATGAAAAATCACTTCTCTCGTCTATTATTTTATTCAATTGCTGTAATCACTTCCTAAAAAAGGAAATTGTGGTTTCGACATTCATGCCAGAAACCCCAAATCACAGCATCACTCTTGGAAGAAAAAAATCCAATCATTAACCAATCAAATTGATTTCCCCTATTACATTACGTTCTTAGCTTTCTTTAGCCTCAAATCTTAGATTTATCTCATAAATCTATATTGAAATTTTGCGCTCTTGAATTTTTAATGGCTGGATGTAATGAAAATTTTTACATTCCCGTCCGAAAAATGTCAAAGATCTGACCAATTTTCCTATCTCGGCTTGGCTCAGTGCCATTACTGTAAGCGTCGGATGATTGGTATGCAGGATCAGTGAGGATTCCACCCCAAAGTGTGCAATAAATATTTTGATTCAGCTGTCGGGGAATTTTTGCAGTTTCAATATAAACCCTAATAGCGGATCGAGGCATTTCCACACAACAATCTGGAAAAAATGCTTACATCTTTGCTAATTTCATCACTCTTCAACGGTTTGAAATTGAAAAATGGCAACACCAAAGAGCACTTCAACATTAGGTTCATGCTAGTACAAAATCCCGCGTGAAGGTATACCACATGCTGCTAATACTTCACGACGTTGGTCAATGACTTAGTAAGGAGTGAAAAAGGGAGAAGAAGAAGATACCTCTCGGATGGAAATCCAAAAGGTCCCTTAACTTTGGGTTTAATATGTATCTGGTAGTCTGGTGAAGGTTCGAATTCAGAGGAGATTATCAAACCAAAAAATGAGACTACATAGACTCCCACATGTTGTATTACCCTATCGATAACAATGTTGTCAAACTCAAAGAGCAAGCCCGACGAGTCCCTTGCCATTCGAGACACGGGTTTTGGTGACAGAGTATCAATGGCAAAAGGCAAATGGATAATATAGCCTTTGACTTGAGCTTCAAGAAAAAGAAAATCGTACAACATGAAATCCCATGGACTAGCTAAAATTTTCAAGTATACATACTTATTATGTTACGTGATTAAATACGTGTTTTTATGTTATGATCAAATTTTTACGTGATATTTGTTATGTATCATAAATGATTAGATGTTGATTGTCTTACATTCCATCTATACATGAAAAATCATTCAAAATTCATGTTGAATGCGAGTAATTGTTTACGTATTTTTTATTTAGTGTTTTTACACCCCATATAGCTAAATTCGAGAAGTAAGAACAAAACTGTATCGTACCTTTATTGTTACATTGAAAATAAAAGTTAGCTAGATGATGAAATGAGTCGAAAGATTTTGCCTTGCACATGTCCATGCCTGCACATGACGTTCATTTGTCTTTTATACATAAATATTTTCTTGTGTTTTGATACTTTTTTGGTATCTTTATGCAGTTATGTAAGAATCTAGATTTGGAGATTCATGTTGCCATTTTTATACACATAAAAAATTTATTTTGCTCAGACATTAGGCATCAACCAAATGATTTTACTGTCATTTTCCATAAGCACCTCTCAATTTTATATTAAAGAATATATTTGGATGTAAAACCCAGTCTGTAGTTTAGAAATATCACTTTGTCAACAAAAAAAATTAATAATTGATTGGTAGCTACCCCTAGTTAGCTCTATAGCATTTAGTGACTGAGCGGTGAATAATTATAATAACGATTTTGCTAATGGAATATCGAGGTGTACCTAATAGTGTACACCCCACTCACATGGGCAAAGGACCCACTCGAATAAAATATCATTTCTTTCACATGGGTCCCACACCTGTGTGAGTGGGTGTACACCATTCGGTACACTCCATTATGTACCATTAGAAAAATTCTTATAATAATTAATTTTATTGTTCAATGGATATATCGATAGTGATATGTTCCAAATCAGGAGCCAACTCCTGTACTGTTGGAATGCTAAATGATGAATGCATCGGAAAGCTAGAGATTAGTCTATGTTCCAAATCAGGAGCCAACTGTGGATATGAGCTGTCCAAATGGAGGTCAAATTCAGCAGCATTAACGTTCAACAATTCCTTAAAACAAGCATCAGATAAGCTGTTAAATAGGAATCCTTCCTCTTTAGCTCAATGTAGAAATGGAGTGAGTTGTCATTTGTAATCATAATGGGGGATAGTTCGCCTTCCACTTCGTATTCTATTTTCAATCCAACAATGCTGCTGTCGATCTTCATCTCGACAGATAGCATCTCAATTAGTTCGACATATTTGCAACCAACAGGTAAGAGAAAACTGAAAGTCCTTGGTTTGCAAGTAACGAAGACGTTTATGGAGTCTATTGCTACAAGACAGAAAAATAGAAGATATATAACAGATGAATAGACTTGATAAGTAGAACAATCGAGAATATCACTATCTGATGCATTTTATCTATTGTTGACACCACCATGGTAGTTACTATCATGCCAAATTATACATTAGTGAATGGGGGTATCTAAGCACTTTCTTTAGTGAACAATTTGTGGTTTTATATCACCATCACCAAAACCTTCCACTTGGATTAAAAAAAAAAAAAAATTTATATTCACAAGTGATGAGTTTTGTATCGAACGATATAATAAATAAAATGGAACACAGTCATATATATTACACAAAGGGTAATGGGGTTATAATCACGGACAACGTAAAAAATCATACAATATAACACTTACATGTTTATTAAAGACAAACCAAGCTATCAAACTAAAATATACCACGAGGTATGATAGATTTGAATTTCTTCTTTTAAGAGAAATCATGAAACCTATGATGATAAGCATAAATAAATTAAATTTCAATGGTAATATAACCCTGTATAAGTGATATTTTAAATACAAACATAAATAGAGCTTTTAAATTAAACTACAACTGGACAATAACCATAATAATTTCCAATTGCCCAAAAAGAATGCAACATGTTTTGAATTCCTATGATTTTTTTTCAGTAACATATTTGAAAAAGGAAAGTGTAATGCATGGTACTTTTGAAATTCCAATGGAGTTTTGCAGTAATTTTGGTTATTAAATGGGTTTAATAGTATAAAATGAATTAGTATATATTTGTGAGGTAT